TTCTTATGAAGTTATTTTTTTCCTCTTTGAGCGAAGAACCACATTTATAATCACATTTTCTAAAATATAAGTAATATTTTAATCTTATTTTTAGAGTTTTTTTAATGAGAGTACTTTTTCCAGTTGTATGAAATGCATTCCTCACTCAGACAAATGATCTATACAACACAACAGGGAAAAAACAAGTTCAGGCTAGTTTTATATCTACTTTACAATAGGTGTGTTAAAGCAAAAGGTGACCATCAGTGAGTCCCATAGCCTGACTCTCTCTGTTGCAAGGAAGTCTGACCTTACTTTCATTGCATTTTCTCCCAGTGAAGTATATACTTACAGAGTGATTTCTAAGAAGGGTTTGGCTATCATTTAGACACCAGGCTATGAATTGCAGCAAACAGTGGCAAGTTAGGGCAACACAAGGAGTAAAATACTGTTGAACTGAACCTCAGTGACCATCACACATATATTCTTATCCCATTTGCTTAAATTGCCCATAACTAGTGTTTGGATACTGAGTAAGTTCTTGGTCGGATACTTTGTAAGGTTAAGCTGTTGCTAGCAACCCGAAAGGCGCTGTGTGCACATCTGTTTATGAAATGTCTAGCCACCTGGTAGCCAAAGTGTGTGTGGTGTAAACCAATTCTAGACTCGGGTCCCCTCATCTGAAGAGGATGCGAACGTTTATCTTGTATGTTTCTACAACAGGGAAAATCATTGAAGTATGTAGAATTTCTGCTATGGAAAGAAAATACAGGTTGTTAAAACTTGGTACAAGAACAATAGAAGAGAATATTCATTTTAGCATGGCATGAATTTTTCAGCTGCCACTTGCTTCTTCTCAGTGCCTTTCCACCAAATGACAAAGTTTGAGATTGCATGTTACTTCGTGGGGAAAATCAAAGACTTATGTTACAGATATCATTAGTAGTCTTTGTATTTGAAAATAAACTTTTATTTTTAAAAATAAGTTTCTAGGATCATGGTGGATGTCAAATCAGTGTGTGCCTTGTGCTGTATAAGCTAACTTATTTAGAGGCACAAGTGTGCTGTACCAAAAAGAAAAATAAATCAACCAGTTTTGTGACCAGTAAGTAGATGCTCAGAAATAGAGAACCACCTGCAGGATGATATGGTAGATTAAAATCTATATACATATTTGTAGACCCATACAGTTATTATTTTGATGACCAGTGTTTAAAGGTAATAAGAAAAGGGAGCACGGTCTGACCAAAATCAGGATATTTAATTTTTAGATACATAAATTTCAGCAAAATGTAATACATGATTCATGAAAGGCATACCAAAAAACGTGTTTTCCTCATGAGATTTATGTTCTGACCAGTGGCACGACATAACAAACAAGAGGTACAAAGGTTAGAAAGGAAGGGATGATGGAGGGTAGAATGATAATCTGATGTCATTGGTTACTTGGATTTGTTAGGTGGTTCTTCAGCCATTTTAACTGTTCATTGTTAGAGTTGTTCTTTGCCGTTTGTCACTCTTATGGCTTATTGTGAATATTGCTGGGGGGGGGGAAGGTCTTTAGGAATGATTTGAAAATTGACAGGAAAGGAACTTCCTTTATGGGCTGCAGGCAGGGTTATGTTCTATATAAATAGCGACAGAAAATTTGAAAAAGAAGAAAGGAAAATACACTGAAGCAGGTACCATTGGTAGCTGCAGTAGGTTCAGGATGGACGCAATACAGATCTCTGGTGGGAGACAGGGATTGTGGAGGGTCTGCAAGGCAATTAGAAAAAAATTCAAACTTGATATAATGGGAAATAATAAGCAGCTCAGACAGCAGCTTATTTATAGCAGTTTATTGATAGGAGGAAAATATTATTTTTAGCAGCATCTTTTGAATGCTCTTCAGGAGAATTACATGGGTATAGGAGAGGCCGAAGCACAGTATGAAGCAATGACTGAAGGACTTTGGACATCAAGAAAGAAAGGTTAATGTTTTTAAACTCCCAAGACTTGAAAACGTTTTTCTTTCATTGTTCATAGTGTTTTGACATTTCTGTGCACCACGAGAAAAGTAGTTACTAGGTAAAATTAAGATTATTTTCATAAAATATTTCAAAGTTATCTATATAAAGAAATACAAAACTGGCATTCTCTGAGTATTTGTAATGTTACAATGTTAATGGGAAAGCCCAACAATGTTTATGTCTGAAAGAATGCAATGAATTTAAGTGTAAAAATTAACCCTTTTATCTGCCTTTTTGAAACTAGTCTGCTGGCAATGCAGCTATTGAACTATTTTTGCTAAGTTCTTTCAACTAATGTTGACAAGCAAGCACCAGCTCTGCTGGATAAAGTTTCCAAACTGCGTGTGAGTACTGGTCTACCTGTAACATGGTACAGTAACATTGCCCACAGGAGACATTTTAAAACAGTTGAGCAAATATGCTAAGCTCATCAAGCTTTTTCTCTTTAGGACCAAAAAATGTATGAGCTGCGTGTGCATTCTCAGGAAAATCTCAATTACTGGAACAAAAATTTCTGATCAGAATAAAGGAGATATCTGATCAAGATCTGTTGCTAAACACCTCTAAACCAAAAAGAGTATTGTAATGTCTGTGTCCTTACTGGACTAAGAGGAGAGAGAGCAGAGATATTTTAGTAATTCTGCAAATTCTGGATTTACCTACATTCTCATCAAAATCCTTTGATAAAAGACTAAGATACCAGTAATAGCTAGAAAATGTCCATTGAAAAAAGGTGTTTTGAGAAGACATTTAACTGTCATCTTAAGGAGCTTGTTGCTCTCGCTTAGATAAAGAAATATTTAATGCTCCTGAGATGAGCAGCAATGGATCTGTCATCCTGTCCTGAGGGGCTGATGGAGAAGACAGTCAGTCTAGAAATATCCTGTTCTTATCCTATGTTGGCTAAAAAGGCAGCTGAAAAAAAGACTGATTTGCTGGTATTGGTCACAATCAATGGCAAAGGGCATTGATAAAAACAGCATACTCACCTAACCAAAATGCAACTCTATATGTTGCTAATATACATTTAACACAATGTTCTATCAAATGTTTTAAAATGATGTCTCATAAGAAAGCAGCAGTGGAAACTACTTGTACAAAACATGAAGGGGAACAGGGACATTTTGGGGTGCATCAGACCCTGCAGATGTCAGCACTTCAAATGTTAACATCTGGAATTCAAAGCATTGAAATACTGATGAGTGACCTCTACGTTAAGAAGCAGTTAACCAAGCCCAGGCATTTAAGTGTTTTTTACAGCTTGCTTTCCCTTCTGCAGGGCAGTGGTGATCCTTTTAGAGATCAGAATTTTACACAACAGCAATTAAAGCCCAGCAGAGTTGCTGGGGAATTTGTCCGTTCTTATGGCTGATTGAAAAGAGACACAGGACAAGGATTGCTGGTATTTTAGCTGTTTCCAGCTAATTTATATTTAATTCCTGCTCTGTAGTAGATGTATAAGATGGTAGCAGCTGCTAGGTAAATGTTTTGGTTTCAGCTGAGATGATAGAATTAATTTTTCTTCCTATTAGATGGTATAGGGCTGTGTTTTGGATGTAGTATGAGAATAATATTGATAACAGTGATGTTTTCAGTTGTTGCTAGGTAGTTGTTGTGTCTACACTAAGTCAGGGACTTTTCACCTTCTCGCGCCCTGCCAGGTGCACAAGCAGAGCCAGGACAGCTGGCCCAGACTGGCCAAAGGGATATTCCATACCATATAACTTCATGCTCCCTATATGTAATACTGGGGAGGCTAGCCGGGAGGCAGATTTGCTTCTCGGAAACAGAATTGGTGTCAGATTGTTTTATTTTCCTTTCGCATGTGGTGAGCAATTGTATTTGTGCATCACCTATGTTGTTGTTGGTGGTGGTGCTGTTGTTGTTGTTATTATTGTCTTCCTTTGTTATCCTATTAAACTGCCTTTATCTTACCCATGAGTGTGTTTTTTTCCCATTCTTCTCCCCATCCCCTTGTTGGGGGGAGGAGTAAGTGAGTGGCTGCGTGGTGCCCAGCTGCCGGCCGGGGCTAAACCATGACAGTAAATAAAACCCAATCTGTGAAGTTCAATAAGAAAGTAGGTGGAAAAAGAATTACATGTGTCAAATAAAATAGAAATCTGGCTGGTTCTGACCAGAAAGCTTGGGAATTACTTTTTCTTCTGACAGTCTGCTCAGTGTGTTGTGCATCTTTGCCGAATGTCCCACAGAAGGTTTGTTCTTGAAAAGGAAAAAATGTACAATATGCCAAGATGTGAATGGTCAAAGTGTTGAATATTTCAACTTACTTTTCTGTGGGAAAGTACTACACATTGAAAACATCATTGACATTAAAAAAAAAAAAAAAAAAATTACCCTAAAATAATTTTTCCCTATCTCATTTTAATGTATCTAAACTATAATGTATCTGTTCAAAATTCTTTGAGGAAAAAACCCAAAAACATTCCAGTGCTTTTCTGTATACAGGACAGTGCCTTTTTAAATAAAGCAGCACACTGAAGTAGGAGGGAGAAGAAACCCAATTAAGCTGAACGTCTTTGATTCTATAGATCCTCGAATGGAAAGTGTCTGTTTCATAATCAGCTTCCTTTAGACTTAGCACATCTTACTCCCAGTGATTAATCCCCTACAGGACTGCTTATATTCTAGAAATGTTCAATTTTTTTCTGTAGGGGAAGATATAATTTTTGCAGTATTTAACACGAATGCAGTTTATTACAGAGGAAATAGTCTTATTTGCCTGTATTTTAATTGTTTTAGCTAGAGGCAGTTTAATAATTATATTGAGCTTCAGTGTGTCTGGTAACAGATGACAAAGACACAGTAGGAAATCTGTCCTCTCTAGATACATTTGCAAAGCTATGCATATAATTTCTATCCACTGAGAAAGGAGAAAGTAATCTCTGTACTGTTTGTTTTGTAAATATGGATGATCAACTCCTTTTGGTTGGTCACTTGTGGAGCTATGTATCTCTCAAAACAACGTCCTTTTTTGTGTGTGTATTGCAGGTAGCATAGTATACCTTGGGATGATGGTGGGGGCATTCTTCTGGGGAGGCTTGGCAGACAAGGTGGGAAGGAGACAGTCACTCCTGATATGCATGTCTGTCAATGGATTCTTTGCCTTCCTTTCATCATTTGTCCAGGGCTATGGCTTCTTCCTCTTCTGTCGTTTGTTTTCTGGATTTGGGTAAGTTCCTCTACTTTTGTTCATTTCCACAATTTTGTGTGTTAATAAAACTTTACTGCTTGCAAAATGGCATTATTTAATGTAGAAATATACTATGTCAGGGGAAATAGAATTAAACAAGGTAGATACTACACTTCTAAATAACAACCTGAAGGGGAAGAATAATGATTTTAAGGGAAAGACACAGACTTCAAATTGTGAGATTGAGTTCTGTTCTTATTTTGCAACAGAATTGCTTTGTGAACTTGATCAACTTGCTTAACTCTTTTATGCCTCAGCTTTTCTATGTATTTCTTGTTAAGTCAGCAAAATAAAACCCTCCTCACAGGTGTACTGTAAGATTTCAGTAATATTTGTAAAGTTTCTATTTGTGTGCATAATATTGTTTATAATACCACCGCAGTCAAGACTGTGAAGTTTAAAATGGCACCCTAAAATGTGCCAAAGGTTAATGGCCTCTCTGGAAGAATGGTGTTTGTGGCCCTGTGTTTTCTTTACTTTTCTTTAAATAACTTCTCAACTGTTGGAAAAGTTTAAGATATTGGTAACAGTCAATTAAATTTATCATTTGAAACTTACATGAGCAGAGACTGAGATACATAAGTAAATGAGAAAGCTTCTACCTTTACTGCACCCTTGGTTAATCAAGAGTCTGTTCTGCAAAACCGTTAGTTTAGCACTTCTGGTAATTGCTTGATTCAGATCAAAACTCCCAATTACAATTCAGTTTCAGGCCACTGTCAGTCTTTGGGATGCTGATAGTGACAGACAGGGGCTGGTGAGAGCACAGCATGCCGGGTCGTAAAGACATGCACGTGAACTCCACTGCTTGTATGGTTTGGTGGTGGTAGTTTATGTGGCCATAGTGCACTAACACTGTTGTGTGATGTTTGCATTTTAAAAAACCCTTGAACTGGTCTGAAGTAGGATAGGGCTAGACACCTATACTAAAAAGAAATTACCCTAGCACTAAGTACTATTAAACTGATTTAGGAAGGGTGATGGAGGGGAAGGGGAGAGAGGAAGGAGATCTGAGCAGTCCTCTTGCTAGAAGAATCTCCTTAGTCTGTCACCAAATTATCAGACTTTAAAAGAGACCTTATCAGACTTTAAAAGAGAGGAAATGACAACTGTTCTAATTCTTAAAAAAAAACTTAGAAAAACAAAACAAAAAAATCCCATCCAGCTTCTTCACAGGTTTTTCATATCTTAGGTCACTATCGTTTCCAGGTGCTATGTTTTGTCTCTCCATAGAGAAACATTGATCCTGTTGCATGACGCTTTCACTCTTCTACGATGCTGTTGAAGTCCAGAAGCTTGTAGTATTCCTGCTTAGGCTGCCCAGTTCATGAGCGGCACTGGACCCTTGTGCCACAAAGGTGTCTTTTGGCAGACAGGTTTGTGACACTGTTGGCTTTCACCCAGATTGTCCCTCCTGGGCCGTACAGCAGAATAGGTATTTGTCACGCCTCGTGCCAAACTTGCCTGCAGGGTCTCCTCCTCACCTATTTCAGTAGCTTTTCCAGTAATGTACAGTGTCCGTAGCTTTACTCGTGACAGATGTATGTCCTGGATTGGGAAGCATGTTCTGTTGTATATAATCTTATAATTAATGGTCTTTGAAGGGGCAGGCCCTTTGTATCTGTATCTTATACTTCTGTCTGGGTTCCCACTGTGTCCAAAATCCTCCTACCTCATCTTTGAAAGCTGCATGAATAGGTCATAGATAATTTGCCACTATGTACTACATTTTAAACATCACCCCCCCCAACCC